GGGGGGGGGGGGGGGGGGGGGGGGGGGGGGGGTGTGGGGAGTGACGGGCATATGCGTCGTCAAGGGGGCCTGTTGGTGAGGGGACAGCTGGGCCGGCAAAACCCCCGCGCCGCGCTGCTTGCGCGGCGGCAATGGCGTCTGCACTGGCGCCTGCAATGGCGTCTGAACCTGGCCCAGGCCAAGGACGAAGCCTCCTGTCCGCCGAGAGGCCTTGAAATATGCAGTGGCCTCACGCTTGGTTTTGCATCGCCGCCTGAACTCACTTGTAGGTGCCCCTGTCGCCCCAGAGCGCCTGCAGCAGGGCGGCCGGCAGGATGGCCGCCATGCGCGTCACCAGGCGGCGCGTGAGGGTGCTCAGGCGCACGTTCATGAAGCCGCGCAGCACCACCTGGGGCGTTTGCGGGGATGGGGGAGGAGGGGCGGTTGCGTTTGGGGGCAGCATCAGAGGTCCCTGGGAGGAGCAGAGCCTGCGGTGCTCAGCAGAGCGGGCCCTGTGTCCATGCTGGGCGTGCACACCCTGATGGTGCCAAGCATGCGCACGGAGATCCGCGCACGCACACGCACACACCTGTCCAGCGATCGTGCCCGTGAACGTGGACAGCTGCCCCGCGCAGAGCAGCGCCGTGCCGAATGCGGCGGGCGCCACGCTGCTGCTGAGCGTCTGCTCCATCATGTCGTGCGCAGCCTGGAGGGTCTCCACTACAATGCCTGAAGAGGGTGCGGGGGAGAAGGTGCGGTGGAGGGTGACGCATCAAGCACCACACGCAGATTTGGGTGCTTGACAGCCGGCAAAGTGGTGCGTCAAACACCTCGCACAAGCGGAGGCGAGGTGCTGCACCAAGAGGCCGAAACCAGTGGAGGAAGTGCCCCCTCACCCCAGCCCTCAGGCCGACTCGGGCCTGGCAACGCGTCACCCACCGGCCTGGTGGAAGGTGGCCGCCGACACCAGCAGTATGGCCACGTTGACCACCAGCGCCACCCCCAGGGCGCAGGCCACGTCCAGCGCATTGAACCACAGCAGGTCGCGCAGCGCGGCAGCCGGCTGGCCGCGCGCCTGGCCCGCCACCAGCGCGCTGCGGGGGTCGTTGATCGGCGGGGTGTTGGCGTGGCGGCGAGCGAGGGGAGAGCAAGTTTGAACAGCTGGTTCAGTCAGGTGTTGGAGCTTGTGTTGGAAGGAGGTGTACAGGTGATTGCGGACGATGGCGTTGGCGGCGGGTGTGCCTCCTTCCCTTTGCGTCGCTCGATATGAGCGCAAAGCCAGGGTTGCAAGGGCAGGGGATCAAATTTGCAGGTGACTGCTACTGCCGCTTGAGGCGCCGCCACCCCTTGCCCGCGCGCCCCCCTTGGACCCGACCTGTGCAAGAAGAAGCTGTGTGGCATGATGTTGGCGCCCACGATGGACACGGCCGTGGCCACGCTGTCGCGCTGCAGCCGCGGCACCAGGCCGCCCACCACGAGGTCCAGCCGCGGCTGCGACACCACAAGGTCGATGATGAAGCACAGCACCACCACCGCCAGCAGCCCCACTGTCAGCAGCTCGCTGCTGCGCACGGCGTGGCGCGGGACGAGCAGCAGCAGCAGCAGGCCGTCCAGGGAAGTGGCCAGGATGGCGGGCAGCAGGGGCAGCTTGAACAGCAGGTTCAGGCCCACGGCAGTGCCTGAAGAGCGCGCATGGGGCGCGGGGTCCGGGGGAAACAAGTGAATGAGGCTCTTAGCGCGGCGGTGGGTCCGGGAATCAGAGCGCCGCACACTCGTCGCGTTTGTCTGCAGGCACGACATGCTCGCCACGGGGTGGTGCCGGCTTCGCTTGACCTGAGCTGCCGGTGGCTGGGTGCGTTGCCCGAAACCAGCGGGCGGCGGCGGGCGGACGGCTGGCAGTGCGATGGAGCCGCAGCCGGGAGCGGGGCAGCATGGAGTGGTGGTCGACAATCAGCCGACTCTAGGCTGCTGGCTTCGACTCGGTAGCTACTAAATCTAGGCTACAGACTGTCGGCTCACCCACGACCATGGTGGCGTCGAGGGCCACGATGGAGATCTCGCTGAGCAGCCACAGCAGGATGCACACGGACGGGGGGTAAGACTCACGGCACACCTGGTGCGGGGTGAGGGGGCATGCGGGTGTGTGGATGATGGTGAGTGTTAGTGCTAGTGTGAGTGTGGGTGTGGGTGTAAGTGGGTGTGCGCGCATGTGAGTGTGTATGTGTACGTGTGCAAGTGTATGTGTGCATGTGCGCGTGTGTGTATCAGTGGTCGTGACGGCAAAGGGCCGAGGGATGGTCCAAATGGCTACTGGAGTGCAGAAGCGTTTGAAGCATCGGACTGCCCAAGAGGCGCAGAGGGATGCTAGCTTCTGCCGCAGGCACCTAGGTGGCGCGACGACGGCCCGTGTCTGCACGACGGCTCAATGCTCAGGTGCCGTGTGATGCACACCCCGCGCCTCCAGCAACTGCCGCCAGGACGCTAATGAATGTGGTCCGCTTGCATCACGCGCGCCCACGGGCCCACGCAGGCACCTGCGCGAGGTTCTTGCCCGTCACGAGGCCGAGCCGCGCGGCCAGCGTCTGCAGCTGGATGGCGATGAGGTTCGACAGCACCACCACCCACACCAGCTGGTACCCGAAGCGGCTGCCGGCCTCGATGCTGACGGCCCAGTTGCCTGGGTCGGAGGTCGGGGGGAGGCGCAGGCGCAAGTTGTGAGTGCGGCGTGCGGCGAGCGGCAGCCGGGAGTGCACGACGCTTGGGACTGTTCCGTCCGCTTTCTGCCGGCCCTGCTGCGCTGTCAACAAGCCGGCGTGGGGCCCTGCACTGTCAGAGCAGAGCCCACAGCCTGGGGTGGAGCAGCCGCGCGAGCGCAAGCGCAAGCGCGAGCGGCGATGCGGGCGGTTTGCTGGGCTGTGCTGGGCTCTGCAGCGTGAGAGTGCGGGTGAGCCTGCGACCGAAGCTGCCTTTACCGGCCGCGCCCTCACCGGGATCCATGTATGCGACCTGCAGAAACACCGCAGGCAGAGGCGGGCCGGGGCATGACGCGGCGCGGCGGTCACGCAGGTTGGCTGGCTGCCATGCTGACTCATGCACAGGGAGAAGCGCTGGCACTGCAGTAGTCCGCACTGGCATGCACCTGCCCAAAACCCTTGGTGAGGCTGAACACTCTCACACCCACTCACCGACACCAAAAACGCTGGCCCCATAATTTTTGCCGCTGTCCGCAGGCCCGCAGCCCATTCTTGCGGCGCCATGGCCGCCGCTGCGCTTGCCGACGAGGCGCGCGCGCACAGCACAAGCTCGGGCAGCGCGCCACTGCTGCGGGATTCAGAGGTCCAGCGGGATGGGCGCTGCCGCGAACTTGGGCATCCCACACATCGCCATGTTTCAATATGACGCCCTAAACAAGGACAGAGGGCGCTGGTTTGACGTGCGATCTGATATATTTAACGGTTGGTCGAAGTCAACGGATGAGGTAATACTCATGTCTTGAGCGCATGTCCTTTGCGTTCGACGTACCGTACATGCACCTTGATCTTTGGTGACAAGGTCCGGGTGAGTGGCATGCAATTGATCGCGCTTTGGTCGCATTACTTTGTTCGTAGATACAAGTTACTTTACAATTGAGTAGGGCTGTGGCCGGTTGGTGGCCACTCAAAGGGGAGATCGCGCGCCATGACAACCAGCACGGGATCCTGGTGGCTCTGGACGGGCTGCGCGGCCGTCGGCGTCTACACGTACTACTCCCTTCGGCCCAAGCCACGCGGCGCCGCAGATGACACCGACTTTGCGGGCTTCCTGGCCGACCCCTCTTCCCTGGCAGCGCCAACGGCGCGTGCCGCCCCTCCTCGCGACGAAACCGGCTTCAATGCTTTCCTGCGCGTCCTCCCCACGGCGCCGGCTGCGGATCCAACCGGTTTCGACTCCTTCCTGCGCGTCAAGCCAGCGGTGGCTGGCGGCGCCGCTCCGCCAGGGGCAGCTGAACAGCAGGCTAAGCAGGAGGAGGCGGCCCCGCTCGACCGTGCTGGCGTGGCGGTGCTGTTTGGCACTGAGTACGGCTTCTCCAAGGAAATCGCAGAAAAGCTGTGTGCTGAGCTGAAGGCCGGCGGCGCCTTCTGGTGAGCCCCCGTCTAAAGCTAGCACGGCGCAGCCGCCCCCCCCCCCCCGTCGGGTGTGTCCAGCGGCACTCGCACGCGTCGGATGGCGCGATCGCGGCTGTAGCAGCCCGTCTCTTTGGGTCCAACCGCGCACGGCATGCGCAGCAGCAGCAGTGGTACTGGGGTGCGATTGCTCCTGTCTCGCTGTCGCCGCTGTCTCTATGCACAGCCGACTGGCTGACCCCTCGTGGAGTCATCTGTCTTCGGCCTCGCCGTCAACCCCCAACCCCCGCCCTCGCAGGCCACGGCTGGTCAACATGGCGGACCACCCGGAGGGCTACGACCTGGCAGCAGAGCAGGCCGTGCTGATCGCCTGCTCAACACAGGCGCGCTGCTCTCTCTCTGTGTTGGCGTGCGTGCGTGCGTGCGCGTTTTTGAGAGTGTGCGCGCACGTGTGTGTGTGCGCACATACTCGCATGTGTAACTGGGTGTGTGCGTGTGGTTCTTGTCTAGGGCGTGTGGGAAGTCAACTCGGGCACCTGGCGTGAGACAATAGGCAGGCGCGTGCCGCACACTGACGACACCGTTCCCCACGCAACGCCCTAACCCCCCCCTCAAAACCCAGGGCGACGGCGTGCCGCCCACCGAGGCGCGCGACTTCTGCGACTGGCTGCTCGCCGGCAAGGCCGGCGCCCTGCCAAACCTCAGCTACTCGGTCCTGGCGCTGGGGGACAAGTCGTACCCGCACTTCTGCCGCTGCGGCAAGCAGCTGGACGCGGCGCTGGCGGCGGCGGGCGCGCGGGAGCTGGCGGCGCGGGTGGACGTTGATAAGGAGGACTGGGGGGCGGTGGACGGCTGGATCGAAGTGGTGCAGGGGGTGCTGCCGGGGCTGGGGCTGAAGAGCCTGGCAGAGACGGGCGGCGGCGCAGGTGAGAGCGGGGCGGGAGGGGGCGAAGGGGCGCAGGCAAAGGGCAGACTGGGCGGGGTCCGCAATGGTGTAGTCGGCTCTGAGCACCAAACCCATCTGGAGGACGGGCTGTCGTCACCACCTGGTTTGTGACAAGCAAGCAGACTCGTTCCCGAAAACCACAATGTGATCTCCTGAGTTCGGCCCAGCACGGCCTGTTCATTACCCTCACCATCACCCTCACCTCTTTTACCCCGCACAGCGCCCGCCAGCGCAGCGCCTGCCGCCGCCGCCGCCAAGCGCTACTCCAAGGCGCGGCCCTACTTCGCGCCGGTGCGGGCGCTGCAGGGGCTCTGCGTCATCGCTGACAAGGCGGCTGACAAGGACACCGTGCGGGTGGAGCTGGACCTGGGGGACTCTGGCCTGGCCTACGCCCCAGGGGACGCCCTGGGGGTGTACCCCACAAACAGCGCAGAGGTGCAGGGCTGGGCTGGCAGAGTGGGCGGTGGAACTGGGTTTGAGGGCCGGGGCGCGGAGTGGTTGTGGGCGCAGATGAGGCGGGCCTGGTGTGATCAGGTTGTGCAGGGGGAACGGGGAGGGAGCTGGGAGCTGCGTCGAGGGCGGCGGCGCGGCGCTCCCGCCCTGCCCTCGCTGCCACGACAGGGGCGGGCACCCGCCGCGCCGGCAGCGGGGCCACGGCTTCTGACAGGGACTTCCCCCCAATGGCAGCCTTGCCGTCCTGTCCTTGATGATGGGCACTGCCCCTAATCTCAACCGCGCGGGCCTCAACAACATCCGCCCCTCCCCCCTCCAGGCCGTGTCTGAGCTGCTGGCCGCACTGGGGGCTTCAGGGGACGAGGCCGTCCCAGTGCCCTCCTGGCACTACCAGGAGCCAGAGGCCCACTCCACACTCATCCCGGGCGCCACAGGCGCGCCCTCGATGCCGCTGCGCGCGGCGCTGGCGCGCTGCTACGACCTGCGCAGCCCGAAGGGCGACGCGCTGCTGAGGGCGCTGCAGGCGGCGCTGCCGCTGCTCAAGGGCAACGGCGACGCGGCGGCGGCTGCGAACGGCCCCCTGGCCAACGGTGATGCTGCTGCGCACGCCAATGGCGGCGAGGCCGCTGCGCCGGGGCCCGCGGCCGGCAGCGCGGCGGGTCAGGTGGCTGAGCTGGCGCGGCTGCTGGGTGACAAGGGCGCCCTGGAGGCCTACCTGGGGCCGCGCCACGTCATCGACGTCATCCAGGACTTTGGGGCCGCGGCGCTGACGCACGAGCAGGTGCAGCCTCGACGCCGGCAGTTCTCATGTCCTTGTGCGCCGCTCCGCTGCTTCTGATGTATCGCAACGCGCCGCTGGCAGTGCATGACTGCGCGGCCCCGCCTCGAGGGGTGCCTGTGCAGCTTTCCTGTTCTCTGTCAATGCAGCAACCAGCAACCTGTGGCAAAAAGCGAGTGCTGCCATTCATGCCCCAACATAACGGCGCCCCGGCACGACCATGCCCTTCCCCCCCAAACTTGCGTATGCCCGCAGCTGCTGCCCGCGCTGCGCCAGCTGCAGCCGCGGCTCTACTCCATCAGCAGCTCCCCCCTGGAGGACCCCCAGGGGGTGCAGGCCACCATTGCGGTCGTGCGCTACGAGGCCCTGGGGGCCGGCCGCGTGGGCGTGTGCAGCACGTTCGTGGCGGAGCGGACGCAGGTGCGCGGTGCAGGGCGCGGGCGTGGTTTTGGGGGTCATCAGAAACGCCGAGTCGGGGCCGCTGTGGTTGACTGGGTGGGGCACGCGTCCACTGCTGGGAGATGGAGGCGGGCAGAAGGGGGCAGTGATGTTGACATGTTTCAATCATCCAGCTCAATCCTGTGCTGTTCAACAAAGCCCCCAATTGATATGATGGAGGCGGCCAGCAATTTGGGCACTCCCCTCACTGCTCTCGCCTCCCCCCACCCCACCCCACCCTGACACTATCCAACCGCAGCTGGGTGATGTGGCGCCCGTCTTCATATCCAAGAACCCCGACTTCCGCCTGCCCCCGGACCCGGCCACCCCCGTCATCATGGTCGGCCCGGGCACCGGCCTCGCACCCTTCCGGTCCTTTATTGTGCACCGCCTCATTGAGGCCGGCGCAGACCCCGCCACCATCGGCGCAGATGCCGAGGTGCAGCAGGAGCAGCAGCAGCAGCAGCAAAAGAAGGGCGGCGAGAAGAGCCACACAAAGGCAAAGGCCGCCAACGGCGTCGCCGCGAACGGTGTCGCCGCCAACGGCAGCCTCGCAGCCGCGTATGAAGCCACCAACGGTGCCGCGATGAACGGCGCCGCCGACGTGGTCGCGGGCAGCGGCGACCAGGGGCAGCAGCGGCAGTGGGGCTTCGGCCCTACGGTCCTCTACTTTGGCTGCCGGCGCCGCGACCAGGACTACCTGTACGGGTCGGACCTCGAGCGCTGGGCCGCGGCCGGCGCGATCGAGCTGCACACCGCGTTCAGCCGCGAGCCCGGGCGGCCCAAGGTGTACGTGCAGCAGCGGCTGGAGGAGAGCGCGGACCGCGTGTGGGAGCTGCTGGAAGCTGGGGCCCACTTCTACGTGTGCGGCGACGCCAACAGCATGGCGGGCGCGGTGGAGCATGCGCTGCTGCGCATCATCGCGGCGCGGCTGCCGGGCGCCGGCGAGGGGGGTGATGGCGGCGAGGCGGGGGCGCGGGCCTACCTGCAGCGGCTGTCGGAGGAGCACCGCTACGAGAGGGATGTGTGGTTCAGCTGAGGGTGAGGGTTGGGGGCACTCAACTGCCGCCGGCCCGTGCCGCTGCTCGGCGCTGCCGGTTGGTTCTGCAGCACACGCGTGCGTGCGGCCCGTGGTCGTGGCTCAGCTGCCGATGTCCCAGGGCGGCCCGGCCACGCTATCTTCTTTAGCGATCACATTTGCCGTGCAGCGGGAACCAACTTGACTGTGAACGTCTTGTTATTCGCTGACGGGGCCTGCTGGATAGCTGGCCGCTCCTGCGGGCGCCAAGCTTGAGTGCGTTGCTTGTGCTGGCGTGTGTTGTGTGCAGGCCCCATGGCTTCTTAGCGCAGCGGGCGTGGGCGGCCTGTGCTTCCCACAAACTGTTTTCGCGCTAATTTGGATTGGGGGAGCTGGCCTGCGCAAGCTCTGGGTGTAACTCTCAACGCGTGTCGTGCCTGGCAGCAGCACGGGCGGGGCGCTAAATGCAGGATAGTGGTTTCCCCCCGACGCAAGCAGGGGGCAGGGGTTGGGACGGCGGCAACGGTGTCTTGGATGGGCGGGGCCGGCGCAGACCTGGAGGATTCCTATGCCCCAGTGCAGGCAGCGCACCACGGCGCCAAGAGAGGCGCCGGCTGCGACTGCGGGCGCCAGCAGAGGGGTGTGTGGACGATCAGGGAACTCTGCGGCCCAACGGGCAGTGACCGCGGGCCATGGGCCCAGTGTACATGGCTTGCAGGCAGCGGGGCATGCAAGAATCCAAGGCACAATTTGCGGGTGGCGGTCGCGGCGGCCAGCTGGACACGGCCCTGGCGGTGTGCGACGTGGCCGCACGCGGCACCCTACGCGGCACAAAGTGGCTGCGTTGGTGGGGCACGCAGTGCGGGCCACCCCAGCTGAGGCGCGCGTATACAGGTGGGCCCCCACGACCTCACACACACAGCGGCGGCGGCAGAGGTCACGAAACCTGCGCGCCCAAGCGGCAACGGTGCCCTTTGGCCTTCTGCGGCTGCTTGCGCGTATCCGCGCCTGCAAAACCAGGACCCTCCCACAAAGCTTTGCAGCCAGGTCAGGCACTGTCTAGTTTAACCACCACTGGCCCCACCCCGTAGTCTTCATCAGCACGACAACTCAGGTGCTACATTTCAGGTGAGGCATCAGGAAACAGATGTGTGACAGTGCCAGATTGCAAGATAATGTGGTGTTGGTTGCGCCACAACTACAGGAAAAAGTCAAAGTCACAGACAGCACAACCAACAACTGATTATTGGAAGTGGCATGCACAACAGCGCCCTGCAGCTCGACAGCAGCATAAGCAAAGGCATGAATTGGACCTGTGCCCGCGCAAGACATGCTGTATTCATATTTGGGTTCTCAGTACTTGGGCTGGGCTGTCCCGCATGCGCGCACATGCCCTGCCATGCGCTCTTGCAAAGCCAGCATTCCAACACAACGGCGGAGGCAGTGGGGCATCGTCCCCTCCCCATCGATGTCAAGTACAGTGGGTTGTCCGTGCATGATGTGCCAGATGATGTGGCGTCGCCGTCCTCCCTGCTGCCGCCACCTCACGCGTCCCAGGTGGGCCAGGCCCTCCTCTTGAGCACGTGGTCAAACAGCGCCCGCAGCCCGCGCACCTGCGGCGCAGTGGAGGGGGGGATTATTGGCGGTTGGTCTGAGAGGCGGAGAAAGCTGCCACGCTGCCCGGAGGGGGCGCCAGCGGCGCCTTGTGATCGGCGCCTGCAAGCTAGGGGGCCCCGAGACTCGTAATTGGACGTGGCTCCCTACAAGGGGCCAACCCCTGCACCGCCACCCCCGCCCCTACGCACACACACCAACACAACGATTTCGCCGGGGCGGGCTGCAAGTTGCCACACCAGGCCCCAGACGCTCACACCCAAATCGTGCCACCTCCCCTCCATCCCAACGGGCATGCGCCCATTCAAGCTTCACACAACACCCCTGTGCAGTGCCCCAGGCCCCCCGCCTTGCCAACCCTGTATAAATTCCTCTCGCAACCCCACCCTCAACATCGCCGCGACCTCGCTGCAGCCAGGTCCCACTCCGCGCAGCTGCAGGGCATGCTCCCGCCCACCCCACTCGCGCCTGCCCGCGGCGCGGATACACAGACAAAGTCATTCAATTAGAAGCCCCCACCACCTCCATGCACCCCACGTCCGTCATTTCTGGATACCCAATCAGTCAGTGCCTCACAACCTCGACACTTTCCTACCCTGCCCCAGCC